GAATACAGTATGCCAAAACAAATGAATAACACTGCATACAAAGAATTTTCGAACTTTGTGGGCGGTCTTCACAGTTTAGGCAACCTATTTAAAAAAGTGTTAATAAAAATGCATCCTAAATGACAAATATCTAACACATTGTCTACATGGAGGTAAGCAGAAGAAATCATAATGACATGCACGGCGGGAACATGAGAGCCCGAAGAACTTATAGTTATCATACTCATTCATATATTGTGTGGTTGTAAGTGTGTGCTATCATTAGGGAAGGAGAACATTTCGTAAAAACCATAGCAGTTTACTTAGCGTTATTACATAAAACATCCCTCGTGGCGTTATCAGAATATATAAAATATTAAAGTTTATATTTTCTTTGCTTTACCATTTGCATTTCGTTTGTTTCTTCTTCTACAAAGTGCTTAGCTTAACTTTATCAAGATTTCACTCAAATCCATACGCTTTATACTTTACACATCGACTACAGCTGAACTGATTTCAGTAAGTTTTCAGATGAGCAAAGCATAGGATATCACCTGTCCAGGAACCTCAGGCTATATTGTCTTGGTACTTTTAATGTAAAACCATTTATGAATGGGGTACATTTGGTGTGTATAGAGTCCATCACTGATATGAGATATGGAAAAGGTCATTCAAACCCTCGGAATGAGATATTATGCAGGTGACCTTTGCGAGCCTTAAGTATCATGTTTGATATTTATCACCTGGCCTGAATGACCTTTTCAAAATCTCATACATACAGGACAAATGTGCCTCTTCCATATATTGCTATTTTATGAACAGTAATATGACATTAAAACCGGAAGACCCTTGAAATGGGAGTTCGTAAAAGGTCAGCGTCACAAAAATAGAATTGTCTACAACTTAACATCGGGTAAGCAAACTTTTCATAAGCACAGCCCCTTCCTTAATGGCTGAGGTATCAAAAACAGACGATGCAGAGGGTCTTTTCGGGAGATATGTGCCCCTGGTGTCTCCCCCTGTAGAAATAAAAGTGAAAATAAGCGTCGTTATTTTAATAGTGTAGTTCCTATTATGATATAAAGTTCTTCTGTCTAAACCACATGTCATTTGTTTTCTAAAAACTCATGATAGAGTGTTTTTTATGAAAGCAGAAAACAACATATATTATTTGCATGATTTCTGTGGAAAGTGCGATAAAATGATCCTGATGTCAATATGTTACACGTGTATGTTGTTTATTATAGCTTTACACGAATACACATACAGTTATATTTACATTTGCATGGTATTGTCATCATATAGCCTCTTTGAAAGCTGTGTCGTTGATGGGACTTTAATTACCATGCAGCACGAGACACAATTATTAGCGTATTAATACAACACTGACCGGAACTACAATATCCAATGTAAATAAACATGACGGCTGCTGAAATATCGCTGGGTATTGTGAGACTTGACAATGTAATTGTAAATTTATGTGCAAAAGAAAAAAGAAAATATAAAGAAAATAGTTTTATTACAACAAAAACAAGACCAAGGTCTGCAACATCGTACAAAATGCACATCGGTTGAAATAACCAATGCCGGCAATTGAAACAATTTTAACACTCATGTAATTTATCAGAAATATCGTCTGTTACACTGCACTGATCAACAGGGGATCGTTACAAATGTCTGAAATACACATATTCTATAGACCTACTGACACATGTCACAGACCTACTGATATGAGTCACAGAACACATAAACATTTCAGACATTTGTAACGAACCCCTCTGCTCCGTCGCAAGATCTCTCACTTCAAACGCTATCAGTTTCACGTGTCTCTCAGCCACGGTTTCCTCAGTTTCTGACGACATGTCAAATAACGAGGCTGTTATAGAATCTACCGACTGTAGTCAGATTCACAAACAATCAATAAATAAATTCACGACTGGATTCTTCGCAAATTCGAACTTTTCTCTTTGCTCATTGAACTTTCAAAAATAACTCCCTCGTGGAGGGCAAGGTCGGATTAAGGGTGTTTATCCATGCGCGAAATTTGTTTCGGGGAAAAATCGAAACTATTTCAAATCTAACTTTTAGCTCAGTGTTCTATTGATAAACTTAAATCACCCATATAGATATATTATACGCAATTGTATTGATACTGTATTGTGGAATAAAATTGAAGTGTTTGTTAAAACTTCAAAGTACTACTTTGTTTGCCAATCAGCACGCGACAATACGCTGTTCCAAGTATTGAACGAATTTGTGTGGACTGTCGATAAGGCGGGCATTTTAAATTTTAAATTTAAATTGTAAGTTAAAAAAGAACATAAGAGACAGAGAAAACGTAAATATAAGTATTGAACTGTTTTTGTATGGTATTTATGATCTATTTGAATGACACAGCTTTGCAAGCAAACAAATCATAAAGCTCTTACTACATTATCTAGAATTTTTTCTATTAATTAACTTGACAGCATGTCAGCATATTTCATAAGTGTTAACTGTTTTTTGTTCATGTATTTTATGTTGTGCTATTGTATATTCACATGATCATTATAATTCAATATTGACCTAGATTGTTGCTTTATTGAACTAATGTATACAATTATTGTTAAATATATTTTCATCTGTACGAGGTACAATATATCCGGCTCATTTTGATTGATTATAATTTATATCCCGACTCACGGGTTTTCTTCGGCATCAAATCATCTGTATGAATACAAAACTCAACAAATCATAATGTGTTAGATATATCGTCCAATCTATATGTCATGACTTCCTCATGTTACCAGTCACATGTACCAAGTCCACAATATGTATATATATATATATATATATATATATGTACACATACAGGAATACTTCCTGATATATGGTGTGTTCAACGCCCTTTTAATTATATTAAGCATTCTACTTAACTAGATTGAAAGTCAAGAAAGTGTTTACTAGGACCAGCGAGGAACGTTAGCATACATCTTAGGCGAAGACGTCTTATATATAGAATTTTTAGAAAGTATTTTAAGTGAGTATTTTTTTTATTTTTTTATTTTATTTATTTTTACAGTTTTTGAAACTTTATTTATTTCCATGGAGAAACACATTACAACCAGTTGTACGTATTACAAGTGACACTGGTTTTAAGTGCATATCTTACATAATATATCTAACGTGAGTTTGAAGAAGAGATGTATTCATTCATCTATGAGGTATTAGTGTTTCCTAAATGTTTTACCCTCATTTCACAGTGTCTTAGATAGCTGGTGATCTAATGATATAATCCGGATATTTTGATAAGAACTGCATTTGATGCAGGCAACGATAACAGTTCCAATTCAGCAATCCTTCTTGTGTACGTTTTAATGGATTAATTACTTTGTAGAAAGAACAATTGATTTTCTGATGTTTGTAAGAGCGGAAAGAAGAGATCTGCACAAATGTTATGACACAAAGACAAAAACCAAACACAAAATCGATTGAAAAAAAGAAATCGACCCCTGGAATATGTCATAACAAAATTGAAGGCTGTTTGATTGGTCTCAGGTAAAAAAGAAAATGACCAATCGATAGGCTGATTGATACCTGTCCTTTGATTATTACAAAGGAGAGACGCCCGACTTCAAAGCCTGACAATTTTTACCATTGCGTGACCGCGAGATTATTTTCATGTACATCAAAGGATAGAACTAGTCTTCTCGTCTCATCAACAAGGTGTAGTACACACTGAGCCTTCAATTTTGCTATGACATATCCCGTGGGTGCAGAGAGCGAAAGTGAGCATAACCCCTGTATATCGAGGATGGTATGTCATGTGAACCGTGCAAACATGAATTCGAGATTCAGGTTATAGTCAACCTTGGTGACCAATAGTCTACAAACAGAGTCAGCCACCATTCTTCTTAAAATAATTACAGGAAATGAAAAAAACAACAGCTATATGACGGTTTGATTATTGATGAATAACATTTATTTAACCATGTGAAACTTTATGTGACAACAGATACAACAGATAAGGTGTTCGGGTGGTGCATTGGATAGCGCACTTGTCTTTCACCAAAGCGGCCGGGGTTCGATTCCCCGATCGGACGTGAAAAGGTATGGTGTTACCCGACCACGTGAGTTTTCTCCGGGTACTCCAGTTTCCTCTCACATTTAGACCCTCCGCGCGCTAACATCCGGACCACCAAGAGTGATTTATATAAGTTGAAATAACTTGTTTCATAATTGTTGTAAAATAAATAAAGTTTATAATTATATTAGATACTTTATAATTAAACTAGTAATTTTTGTAAACGGTTCAGAAAGAATTTCCCTGAGGACTGATAGTTTCTTGTTTTAAGACAGTCCTCCTATCTTATGCTTGCTTTGAAATAAAATCTTATCGAAATTATAAATTTATAAATGATTAAATTTTAAGGTTTATATTACCATTGGCTTATAAAGCTTCGGTAACTGGGTCCTGCAAATAAAAGTAGTTCTCGTAGTGTTCGAGAATATAGTATAACTATCGTTAATTTTTTCTCGTAGATTTACTGAAATGGCAAATTTCGAGAGACTTCTTTTTTTTTACAGATTTCAAGTGTAGTAGTCATTGCACAATCTGACATGAAAATCACGAAAATGAGAACATTGCGACAAGCGACCTTTACTATATATATACTTATATGAATGTGGAATGCAAAAGAGACCATGTACCTCTCTTAGATAGTCCTTGCATAAATTCATTTTCACAAAATGAACAAACACGGATAAATTACCATTGGGATTGAAATAATCCCAAATCCCACCTACTTTCAATTCAACAAAAATGGCAACTTATCACTAGAAGGTGAATCACCCCTAACTCTCAGTTTCAAGAGTAAGACGCAGCTTGTAGATGCTGAAGGTCTATGTCTGATTTAAAGGATGAAGATAACCAGCTTGTACCTAAGTAGCATGATTCACGACCACCCAACATGCCAAAGGTCAATTTTATCATTAAATAGTGAATATGAAAAGGAGGAGAAGCTTACACCAAAAACGCTTCAAACGTGAGAGTGCAAATCCATTGGGAACGTTACATTTCTACTAACATGTCTGTTATGTAAGCTACATTAGGCGTGCATACGTCATTCACGCACACCTTAATTTTACTGGGGGTATATTTACTACCGCTGCTGCGGCTGACGTGTGCTGTCCATATTCATATAACATAAAACGCAGCAAGAAGTGTTAATGTCGATAATTAGACTTGATGTGGTCGGGGTTATGAGTGGAGTGTGAATGACGGAAGTGATTCGGACTCGTGAAATAAATATGATTATCAACCCCAACACATGTTCACGTTACACACTGCAGTGTGTTATTCAGTACAGAGCGATAGTTTTAAATGTTTCAAACAGCATAAACAGAAATAAGTGAGAGTTTTAAGATTGCGAAATTCCACTGGAGTTTAACATCAGTGGGCGTGGGTGACCTATAGCGTATGATAAAACAAACGCGTGGGTATATAACTCCGCTGTTTAAATGTTTGTTTTTATCATTCGGAGAATGAAACCGGAACATTAGAAGCCTGGTGAATCAGGGACACTGAAGCAGAGAAGAAGTTATACATACAACATGGAACTGAACATCGTATTCTTCGTGTTGAACCTGTGTCATTTCTGTGTTATAACGGTTGGACATTTCCGGAAACAAGGTATGTTATCTTTAATTTCTATTTCTGAGTGTTTTTTAAAATTAGATTAGATATAAAAAAAAATACTATTGCTGGGTCATTATCTAGATTATCAAGATTATAGAGTTTTGTTTAACGCTGCGAACAGATTTGAAATGACATGTATATTGTGATTTTGTTCATCACTTTTTATAAGTCAACTCAAACAGTTTCACTAAGTTTATATAATTCAACTATTTCCTTATGACACCGTGTCACCCATCGGACGCCCATCTAATTCAGAAACTGACATGCATTTTTCTACAGTTAGCTAGAAACCGATATAGCTAGGTTCCAAATAGAAACCGGTAAACCATGTCAAGAGCTAGGTTTCACATAGAAACTGTACTAATCGGTCTACATCTAGCTGCAATGCAAATTGAACATATGTAAACCATTATACGTTTATTACAAACAAAACCTCGATCTCTAAGTTGTGTTAAACAAAGACAGGTTTCATCCTACGTTTTACATGCTTACAATGTAAAGTTCTGGTATTGCTATTGTTTAACCCAATTTCGTGAATTCTCTGCTAAATCATGGTATACCCCGTGTTGTCTGTGCTGTTGTGTACCGTTTTATCTTATAAATAATGTTCTAATATTGCCACAGCTCAGTCTGATCCGGTTTATAGTCAAATTTAAAGTGTCTTATTTCCTGATTTAAGTATTACACGATAGTTATATGCATTAAAACACGGATTTGTATAAGCGGTATTAACATACACTGTATGTGCATCTTGTGTATCTTTGATGGGACCCATTGGGAGTATTTTGTTACAAGCTACAGAATCACAACAAAACGTTCATCATTTCCATCGTTTTATAAAATAATACAAAGTGTCCATTATTATCTTTCATTGTTTGATGTTCAGTTAAATGTTGTTGTTTTTTTAATAAGTAGTCATTGTTGTTTCTCTGTCGCCGACCCGGTTCTCGATTTCAGGACATGACATTAGTCAATGAAGCATAAAACGCTTACCGTTACGAAACACCTGGTCTTTTTAAGGGTATCTCTTAACTCATTCACCCCTGAAGTTTCATAATGAACTATTCCAACATTTATAATGGAAGGGTTCAAATGTGTCTTCAGGGGTGAATGAGTTAAAGTAATTCTTTCGTTTGTTCATATCTTGCCCTAGTTTAACTCTTAGGCTTCGCTTTTGCTGTTTCTATAGTCGTATAGTCGTTAACTATACATTCACATTACAATTAAAACATCCTTACAATCATAACTAGTTTTAATTCATATTAAGGTGCATCAGTACACTTGTATTGAGCAAAATTTAAGAAATTAACAAAGGGTTTCTTATTTGTTTCGGAGCAATCCATACATTTTTTTGCAACAAATTATATTATGTTTATAAACATAACTGACTACTTAGGAGGGATATTACCGGTTTTGGACCCTTAAATTCTAAAATATAGGGATTTTTTTTACTGAAAGAACAAAACAAAATAGCATTTAAAGGTCATTTTGTCTCTAGGGAGTATACACACACAATTTATTTAGGTTTTTTTCACTGATAACATACAGTCTTCAATCTTAACTTGAGTGTTCTTATGCATCTTATTATGTAATTCATCAGCTGTGTTTGTTCAAACCATTCGTTCAGTTCTTCAATACTCTTAGGAAGACTGGTAAACAAACATAGCTATACACTAGGATATTATGATTACAAATACATAATATTCCTTTACTGTAAATATTGGCAAGTACAAGTCCATATTTAAAACAGTAGAGGACTGAAGAATATTCTTAATAATAAAAAATGTCCAACCAAAAACTGTTGATTAGGTTACGATACTAGTCAGATGGCTGTTACCTAAGTACCTACCTACACGCCCGCCCACCTATCTGTCTACGTGACTAACTTTGTACTTACACCTAAAAAGAACAAAAGTTCATAGGTAACTTAGGACTTCTCAATGATACCAAGCGCCAGTCCATAATTGATTTTCAACGATTTCATTATATAAAGATGGTGGGTGGATTCTTAAGTGGAATAAACTGGCATTTTAATGCCACCAACACTTTAATCAAACGCGGCTTGTCAGAGAGCACCCCATTAACGGCCAATGGAGACATGCTGTTGTTGGTGACTTATTGATTTTAATATGAAGCTAAGATTTATTTTTTTCTAAAACATGTTCAATTTATAGGAAATTCAATTCTTAAAGGTAAACAGGTATTGTTTGCAATTTCTTTTAACTTTTGTTTTTCATCTTTTTCTAATGTGTCGTAAAATTGGTCTTGTAAAGGAGTGGTAATTTAATGGTGTGTCGAAAATTTATTTGTGTAAGGCAGAAGCAACCTGATGATGAGTCGCAAATTTGGTTTTGTAAGATAGCAGCTATCTAATGATTTGTTTCAAATTTGGTTTTATAATAAATCTGTAATCATTTGACGTGTGTCCTAAATCGAGGAACTTACATGTGATTCCATTTATAAAGGCTTTCTAAACCGAGTCTAAGAATCTGAAAACGATACTGACCTCAGAAATATTTAATATCGATATTTGACTCCAAAACTTCTTTTTTTTTTTAATTGAAATGCAATACAGTTGAAACGACGGGAATCGTCAGCCAATCACAGCTCTGCTAGATGTTACCAAACGTCTATACACAACACAGTTTACTTAATGAGTTATGACACTTGTAACAGTTTGTTATATAATAAACTCGGTTATGTAAGGTATTTGTTATCTGGTGACGTTTATGTGATACCATATTCACGATTTCAACAGAACAGAGATATATGGTTGCTCTAGGTATTGTACGTGTAAAGGTACACGCACCACGGTAATCACAACATGTAGTCAGGTTAGAAAGCATTGTCAGCTTTATCGTTCAGTTACTGATATTTATCACGTTCATTGTATGTGTCTTTCATATCATTTTAAACTACCTGTATTTTCTGCGCACGTGGCGAGTATTATGAATCCATGCTTTAACTATTAGCTGGTTATGGTTAGGTAAATATCGTTAATTAGACTTTATTCTGATCAAAGATTATAACATACATATGAATCCATTCAAAGTAATTAATTGAATTTAAGCATATAGCAAATTTCTCAATTCTTTTCGCAGGGAACCATTCAACATATTTGTTTGTAGTTTCCTAATATCTTTCAATAAATAATTTAAGATGTTCACATATTTTATGATTTTTGGAAGAGATTTTTCACGGAGTTGTTAAGCTAACTAGGACCTGAACTAGTTTTCTATATAATCTGGAGTCAGGAATCTGAGATTCGTGCTAATTAATCAGTCGCCATGGTGATGATGATACATTAGTGACACAAACCCGGGAATCTAATCAATTTCTGTCTGTCGATCAGCATATGTACACGGGCATATCACAAAACACTTCAGGACAAGGGATGATCTTGTCAGATTCATAGAATGTCATTTGAAAGAAGATCAATATCGTTCGTCAGTCGATATATATTTTATTGTGACAAAAAATAGAAGTATTGAATGTTCGTGTCTAAACATGGATGTTTTAAATTAAAGTTGTAATAAAAAAAACGAATCCTTTAATTATAACACAGTGTTTGCTAACCTCTGCGCCATGTATTGATCCGTATTGACAGAGTAAAATACCTATCGTAATGTTATATGTCAGTATGAATCGGGCACATCTCAATCAAACGTATCAATTCACGTGTTATTTATTGACATGTACTTCAATATGTGTAAATACCAAACAACAGTTTGTTAGGATATTTCCAATTTTGTGAATAGATGTTTAAAAAAGAGTGTGGGATCGGAGCTTGGTATACTTACATAGGGATATAGGATATTTTAATCTTCTTTGTCAAAGAGTTCCATAACAGTTAACCTTTAAAGGATTTATAAATGTGTGTCAATTTAGACTTGAATAATTAATCCGGATGCTAGGTTCGACATGAACAGAAAAAAAAGTGATAATATCTTTCGGATTAATATTCATATCAAACTGATAATGTTTAAAAAGGAGTATAGGTGAAAAAAATACAGCGAAAAGCATACTTTATACGTTGGCATAGCTTTATAACGGTAGCCAGATTTTTATCTTCGATCCCTCCAAGAATCGTTTTCGAGATAGATATGTGAAAAATATAGCAAATAGCCATTAGCTTGGGGAGTTTGCAGATTTTATATATTATTACGATAAACTGTTATACAAACTTTACGAAGAAAAATACGACTTTTTAAATATAAGTTAAATTAGAATCTGCTGATTGTTCGGAGTTCTTTCTACAAGAAGTCTGTTGTTTTATTTTCAAATTCAATTTCATTCTTGTCAATATTATAAGTAAATCGATTTAATATAGATAGGAAAAAAGATATTATATAAGTGTTTTTAACTACAAATGTTCCATGTTGTTTTGATAGCAAACAAAGATAACATTGTTTACATTTTTCCTGCAACATCTTGAGAAAATGTGTACAAGCCATTTGTTTACTAAATAAAAGAAGAATAAAATATTGAAAACATTCTAGTAGTGCAAAGATGAAAGAAACGTTAAGTGTTTTTAAATCGGTTGGTTTAATTCTGAATGCCTACATGTGATAGCATATCGTGTTCAAAAGAAAATATCTAGGCATTTAAGTGATACCTTTTGTCACTTATACCTTAAAACAATTTTAATGAAACTTGCTTAGTGTGTTTCGTTACAAAGGTATACGATATTGCTCGCTCACATACCCATTTTAGATGGCTAACATGCTTTCGTTATTGTTACAGATGGTTGCCCATCCTCACAATGGTCCATGAACATTCCACGCGAGAGATGTCTAAAATTTTATCCAGAATTCCATGACTTCGCACACGCCGAACAATTATGCCAGAAAGACGGGAGCAACATTCCTTATATGGACATCGATGTTGATGTGACGTCAGCATTTCAATATCTTTATTTAAATTTCACCAATTCATCTTTTCAATTTTGGACGAGAAAGCATCAAAGTAGCATAGGAAGGACTGTAAGCAAAAGAACAACAAACAAAGCGAAAAGTTGCGAATTTATAAAAATGGGACGAGAATGGAATATTTCAAGACATACAAGAAATTGTAATGAAGACACAGCAGTGCTTTGTGAATACATAATGAACGATTCAACATACAAACTGTTTCCAGAAGGTGAGTACGGTGTACCTACGATATTGGTTTGTCCCTACAGGTAGGGCGTGAGAATTGTACCTGCTACCCCCATTGCATGATCGTAAGAGGCGACTAAATTTGGGATCTTTTCTTTTCTCTTCTTTCTAAAGAACTTTCTTCTTCCTATTGTCTCCCTTGACAATGCCCCACTTTAGGCATTTAGTCGAGCGTTCGCCCCCGTGACGAAGGCTTTAGGTTCTGTCCCCTGGTCGAGACATACCAGAGTCTGTAAAAAGGGTAGTTTCTTCTCCTGCTTAACGCTCAGCAATTTAGGCGTGGGACGACTGGTTCGCCCGTTGTCAGTATAATGTGACAGGGTGGGGTGTCATCCTGGGTGTCTTCGGCAGTATGTTTCAGTAAGGTAGCACTATAAAGTCGGCACCAGTTCTGCGCTATCACAAGGAGACAAACACGAACATATAGCAGCCTCCCAAAACACACACGCATACACTACAAGCATGTATCTTGCACACAGGGGAGGATGTCCTTAAATGGCCATAGCTGTTGATAGGACGTTAAATAATACTAAACTAAACCAAACCAAACCAAACCAAACTAAACTTTGATGTTGGTTGATTGTACAGTGTACATGTTTAAGCGTCATATCAATGGGTGTTATCATATAAGAACGTGCCTCTATGTGTGTTGTGTATGCGTAAATGTGTGTAAGTGTGCTGGAGACAGGGTATGTTGGTGTATTTGCCTCCTTTTGATAGCGCGGAGCTAATGCCGACTTCATAGTGATATCTCACTGAAATACCTTGCCGAAGGCAGTCAACATTTAACTATGAAGATAAAAAAACAAACGATTTCTATTATGGTAAGATTTTAAGCGTTATTTAGAAAATTAGATTACAATCTAACATATCCATAATTTTTTCTGTGGCATTTTCTCAAGAAAATTAAGGTTGTGATGTCGTAATATATAATATACTGCTTAGTACAGTGTTATAATAAAGGCTTGTTAACTGATCTGTAATATCATCCATATTTCAGTTCGAGAGTATTTTGAAGAATATTGATCTGAGAACTAAGTTTGATAAAAAAAGACTAAGCTTGCTTAGCTTTGATATCAATATATCATTGGAAAATTTAAATTTCCTACAACCCAGTTGAATAGAAATGTGTCAAATGTTTTCATTTCAACAAATTTTATTGACAAAGTTGATAAAAGTCAATTGGATAGAATAACAGGCAAAGCCTATATAAATTCTCTCCAGCGGTGGCTAAATTAACGGATTCTGTTATTTTTATTTGATTTAATTAATACATCAATTTTGAAATGAAAATTATAAACAAAAAAGTTAAAAGGATGTAACTCCTTCTTAATTAACATAACTGAAATACAAATACATTCACACTTTTCACATCACACATAAAACAATTCCACAGGTATTATTTATTTTTATAACATTTTACAATGTATATAAGCTATATAGGTATCAAATCACACAGATATTGGCAGACATTGAATAAAAGTCAAATGTACATAATGTTAGGTTATTCTTAAATCTGACAGTGCAAGGTGAAAGGCATAGCTTCCTCAGCCCTCATTGCTACCATGGTACATTATATAAGATAATATACATCGCATTCCATTGTTAACCTATAGCTTTCACTGGGAATATCTCTAAACCATTCTGGATGTTTTGTTTATTCAAATCTCAATTAAAACTTCTTTAACTTGCTCTATCAGCTTCTTATATGTTTTGCTGGATAGATATACGACTTACCTCCCTTTTTCTGAACTATGAAAAGGAAAAAGAGGTCTCAATTTAAAACGCATCATTTTACGAGCGGTAATAAAAATATATTCATTTTCTATATAATATTTCCCCCGTTTATCAACGCATAAACCCGGCTGAGTTGTTGGTTAATATCCCTGTTAATCAGTGATTGATTTACACATTCCTTAAAATAATTAAAATCGCACTAAATTTATTAAATACTTCAAATCGAACTAAATGTATTGAATGCTTCAAATCGAACTAAATGTATTAAATATTTCTAATCGAATTAAATATATTGAATACTTCAAATCTAATTAATAGATTGGATACTTCAAATTGAACTAAATGTAAAATTTAATTAAAACTGAAATTAAATATTTAAAACTTCAGGATTTTCAGAATATAAGGTATAAGTATATGTGTGTAGACCAATCAGCATCGGAAACCAAGCCGATGTGTTTATGATGTGCGACGCTATTTATAACTGAATCATTTAAGAATACGTTATAATGCAACGTTTTCGCGTCAACCCACTTTGAGAAGAAGAGAGGTTTTAGTTTAACTCGATTCAGAATGGGTGTCTTTCTTAGTACGTCAGCATTTCTGTCTGTTTCCTTCTTTCAGAAGTTGTGTCGTTTGCTTATAATCTCTACTTCTATCAACCCTTTGTTCCTAACGCCTTGCTTGGCAATACTCTTTTTTTTGCTTTAGTGTTAAACGTTTGCCCAGGTGAATAAGGTGAACAAAATTCCTTAAATGTGGTAGTTGATAGTCCCGACGTTAAGTTCAGCAATTACGGAAATGTCAACAACTGGTTCACACGTTTTCAGCATAATGTGACGTCGTGGAATGCTGTGCTAGATCCTTTAGCATGTATTTCAGTGAAGAAGCACTCTAACGTCGGCAATAGTAAATAGAGATTCCTTGCCTTCAGCACCATACACACATACATGCATACATGGAGACACGTCCTTAAATGACCTTAGCTGCAGATAGAATCACTTGCATACAAATACTAATTTTAACGATATCCGATTTGAAATGAAAATGATATGAAAAATCGCTTTTGTCGTAAATTGCTCAAGTTTAAAATTCCGCCATCTTGTCTCTATATATTTTGTAATCATTTTCATGACGTCACAGTACTTAAAAAAATAATATGTAAGTCATATAGCATAGTTCGTACGCAAAATATATAACATGAGTGTGTTTAATGAAAGCACATTAACACATTGTAATGATACATTGCATATATACAATGTAATTAAAGTAATACATCATAAATTCAAAATAAATCAACACAAGTTAGACATACATTTTCAGTGTTCCGAAAGAGAGTTTAATACTAGGAACAAAACAGTGTATCGATTATCAATAATGATCATACAGTGATTCTTAGATTTACCAAACTACAATGTGCAATGCAAACTAAATGTGAATTAATGCTATTTCGAGCGACTGTGTTCAAATGTATGAATATGTTTTCTAAAGGGAGCGAACTCGTCTTTACTTGTTTAAGGTGACCAATGAATCGCTAACTGACGATGTAGTATGCTGCACTGTTGTATATAACAACGTCATTTATAATGGTTTCTGTTTCTTTTTTACAGATCTTTACGTTTTGGATACCCGGGATCTCGTCGCTATAGGAGCTGGAATATTTATTGTAGCAGTATTCAGTCTCGTCGTTCTCATGGACATTATAAAACATATCAGAAGTCCGGAACGAAAGACGACCGACATCACACGTGTGTGATACCCGTTTAGATAGCTGTATCGCTAGACAACGTGAATTATTTATGGCCTAATTTCTTACCCGAGACGAAAATAGTACTTCTCGTTTCTCACGGGATTCTTCGAAATGCTCGCCTTTGCGTCACTCTCGGTAGAATTCGTAAAGTACATCAGAGATTGCCGAACCTCATCAGTTCGGCCTACGGTAGCCCTGGGCAGCTTGGCCTTCGGCTCACTTGACATTGGTTTCCTGACAGCGATACTCTCAAATGGAATGGATCAGCTTCACAATAGCTTCATTGCTGTATACCAAAGTAAAGAGATTAGCTAAGTGTTTACCAGACAAATTGACGCTTGGAATCTAACAAGCTCAGTTGTCTTCGTGTTATTACGATTGTTGTTAAGCCTGTAATATGTAATACTTCATCGATTAGGTGTAATATTGCAATGAGATCCGCATTTGCAAATGGAATCATTGAAAGCATGAACAAATCAATAAAATGTCGACCCCTTCTTACGCACCATAGGAGATCGGTCCTGAATAATGAATGATAACCTGAATCAATTTAACAAATAGACTAAACAAGCTCTTTGCTCTCGCAATTTTCATATGTTATATATTTATTTTCTTGTGAGACTAATATTCTACGGTCTACAGACCGGAACATATGGTTAGAAGCACACATTCCAGAAGACAACCGTTTTGTGATACTCATATTCCGAGGCCTACGGTCCTGGAACTTATGGTCAGAAGCAAGCGCTGCAGAAGACAACCGTTTTGTAAGACGAATTTCAGAACTTATATTCAATCCGTGATTTGTTTTAAGATTTAGAGCGGGGTCTGATGTGCCTGGACACTCGAGGATTACTTGTTGTCAAGGCTTATCTTGAGCGTAGTCACTTTAACCAAACCATTTTTTACAAAACGTGGTCAATGCATCTATAAAAACATAAATCAAACCTTCCAGCTCCTATGCATTGTAGTGAACATTTTGATAAATTGTTACGTCGCTCGATTTAAACTTCCAACAAGGTTTGAAAAGCTGATGGAAGCTAACTTTTTATACAAATGTGATGACGTAACAAGATAGCAACGAGGAGATTATTTGATTTGTTCTAAAGCGTCTGGTTACATCCGACCCCGCTCAATAGAATACAACTGTTACATACACCAAATCGTCACTTACCAGAGACGATATACTGACATGTCCTTAACATTTGTGCCTTTTGCAATATTAAATAAGGTTTCCGATGTAGATTTGTTTTCCTTGTATTGTATTCCTTAATTACACAAGTTTCCTTACAAAGAACAATTTATGGAGTCTTCTTTTGAATACACTTTGTCTTGGAGTAAGAAGAATTTCGGAAGCCTCATTTAAATAATTAATTCACTTTATCGACAAGAAATTACAATAAAAACGCAATAGAACTATGTCACATTTAAATGTTTCATCTTGAAATAAGACAAATTTTGGAACCACTTTTAAATGATTAATTTAATTAACAAAAAAAACCCGCGATTGAAGACGTCAAAGAGTTCCACTTTTCCATATTTTGAGACACGATAATGCTATGAATCTCACGTTATTACATTTCCTCTCTTCAGAAGAAATCATGATACCTAATCCCCCCCCCCCTCCCGTATTTAAAACGTTTCAAACGCTAATAGAATATACAATCGATGTGCATTCAGAATAAAACATAGGATGGATAAAAGGAGTCTTTATAAGCTAAAGTATTTGTATTTGTGAAATACTTTTGCATGTTTAAAAAATCTATAAAAATATTTTTAAAAAAAAACGAAAAAATTACTGTGTGAGATTTCATTTTATATAAAACCATTATGATATCTATAATTCAAATATCAAAATATGGTATTCAATCGTATTACATTAAAGGTACAGACTTGAACATTTGTGATTGACAAATCGTATTTATATAAGGAATAACGTAGATCATATTTGGGTTTATAAGATATACACTGCACAAACTGCGTGTACTTTCAATAAATCTGCGAATTTGTAGTTAAGAAACAGTGCCTATCATCGTCAATCTATGACAAAGCTTATATGTTATGTTTTATGGCAGATATTTAAATTCAATAGCATAGTAACTTCAATAATGTTTTAACACTCTTTAGCAATCTGAATGATTGTTCCTTTTTTTTCCTAAAATATTTGCTAAATTATTTAAATATCTAAATAGTGTTTTCTGGTCTTTTAATGGTAATAATAAATAGGTTTTAACAGATAGTTTTCGAACAAAAATTATAAATTTCCGTTAAAGTTGGACAATGTGGAATATTTTCCTCCTTTAAACATTTTAAATGACTAGTTTTTTGATAAAGAATTATTCGAGTGTTACTAATGTTTTCATGCACATTTTCTATCAAGTATATTAACAACGACCGTTTTTTCATTTAATGGTTTAAATAAAACTTTTTGAAAGAGCGTCTTTATAGCGATAAGATAATATGGTGGTTCGCCTTACCGATCATGTTAGACACACCATATTATACACAAGTGATGTTAAATTTAAACATCGAATGATGCATGCTTGTCTGGGAACCTTGTTATTTGATAAAAACATGCGTGAATTATGACAAAGCATATTGCGAGGGTGAAATAATTGACAAAGGAAATGTTTTCCGACTTTTCCTGACTATGGACACCACTATATAATATTCAAACATAAGTTGTTCTATTATTTTACCGAGGTAAAATGATGTTATTCATTTCTACCCAAGGGCCTATAAGGCAACTTAACCAATATTATTTTGTTTTGCACAAGTTGCCTCGTTTTCACATCATTAAAAAATATAATGCAACTGATATAATACGTTTCACGCTAAAACCAAGTCGCCTAGTTCTGCTAATTCAACGTTGATGCCAGTGGGAACGATTTGATGTGTATACGAACTTTTTTCGGGTGTTCTCATTCAACAAAGCGAAATTTGTTCTTGACCAGACACACGTTGAGCACATAAACGCTTGTAAATGATTTCTAATTCAACGAGGCAAACTTTGTTCTAGACCAGATACACGTAGTGCACGTAAACGCTTGTAAGGTATCCTAATTCAACAAGGCAAACTTTGTTCTAGACCAGACACTTGTTGTGCACATAAACGCTTAAAATGTATTTGCTTTCAAAAGAGCAGAACTTTGTTCTAGACCAGAGACACGTAGTGCACATAAACGCTTGTAAGGTAACCTAATTCACAACAAAGCAGACTTTGTTCTAAACCAGACACACGTTGTGACACATCTTGTGCACATACACGTTTGAAAGGTATCCTAATTCACGAGGCAAACTTTGTTCTAGACCAAACACATGTTGTGCTTATAAACGCTTGAAAGGTATCATTATTCAACAAAGCAAACCTCGATCTAGACCAGACACACGCTTCTTACTTCTTAACATTTGTATTATAGGGTAGGTCTTGTAAAAGCGTTGCAAATACATGGTGTACTGAGGAAAATGGAACATGTGTCTGTTGACATGGTTCTTAACCAATAAAAATCATTCGTTATGAGGCGCGGCGTGGTAGAAAGCAGATATTTTGTCTGGTTATTTAATAGTGTCATATTACCTTAGTTTTTAATAAAGTACATTATTAGTTGAAATCTATAATCATGGTACGGTATTACCCTGTTGACTTGAAAACATTTATTCTGTCTGTTTTTTTTACCTTTTTTAATGAAAATATTGTTTATTTCTCTTTTTCTTCATATTATTTGCTGGAATTCCTATACCGACGTTCAATATGAACATAGAGGCTCTTTGTAACAAACATGGAACAAAGAGAAGGTTAAAACACATACGTTATGTATGAAATGCAGTAAGCATTCCTGACAAAATCAATGAGTAAACAACACAATGGTCTTTGTCAGCTGTATGGGACGAGGTCGCCGTACCGGAGCGGTGTATGCAGATAGAGTTCATTGATAATGTATCGTTTATATCTCCCTGCAGTCTTTGGTTACAAAATCGTTTTTAGCAGGATTGCAACGCCAATCAGGGCTTATAGATTGGCGATCCCCGTCCGTCCGTCTGTCCGTCCGCTCGTCTGTCTGCACAAAGGTTAGGAAGAATGGTTAAGCTCTGTTTCCAAGTTATTGATTATCCTACATCAACTAAACTTGCATGGCTTATGTATCTAAGGATGCTAATCACATCCGATGCTTCGAATGCTACTTCTGACCTATATGTTCCGCTTGATTGACCAGGTTAAGATGATTGGTTAAGGTCAGGTCCCATCTGCACTATGGTTAAGAAGCCTGGTTTGGGTCACTTTCCAAGTAACTACTTGTTGTTCATCAACTTAACATGCATGGTTTATGTATCTAAGGATGCTGATCACATGCGATGCTTCGTATGCTGGGTTGACATACATTTCCAACTTCAGTGACCAGGTTAAGAAGATTGGTTAAGGTCACTTACCAGGTAACTACTTGTTCTTCATCAATTAAACGTGCATGGCTCATGTAGGATGCTTATCACATGGGATGCTGTACATGAAAATGTACTCTAGCAATCCGGCTATATCGCCGTTGGCGGTTTCTTGTTCTGTATATCAATTCATGTTAAATGTAATAAGGGATATATGATTGGGAAGTTGTTGGCAAGTAATAATTAAACAAGTTTCCAAACTAATATTTATCACATTTGTTGACCCGGATTGAAGGACACAGGCGGTCTTACTGTGAGGGGAAACCGGAGTACCTGGAAAAAACAGGGTCCGCTCCAGTTTGGGCAGGTGACCAAATACATTTTTTCACGATCGATCGAGAAATCGAACTCTCTCTCCCGAAGTCAACTAAGCACCTCTTCCCCTCCGGGTACTCCAGTTTCCCTATGAAACCATACTTTTAGTGCATACATAGTTCTCCCTAATTCCCTTGTAACAACTAATCATATAGGTCCCATAGTGTTTACCTATGGACAATGATTGGATATACAACAACCATAAGAGGTTTCACATGCACTCGAAATAAACGTCTTTTTCTGTCATTCTTTCACCTCCCCTCAATGACAAGTACCCGTACGAGGGTTGTGCAGTAGTACATTATGTAGATAGATGTTTACCTATTAACAGGCATGGACAATCCAATCACTGGAATTTTCACATGTACTCGGTATCAGATAGGTGTTTACCTATGAGCAGGAACAATCAATCATTTGAATTTTCACATGCACTCGAATAAACAATAGATAGATAGATAGATAGGTAGGTATGTAGGTAGATAGGTAGGTAGGTAGAAGCTTCATTGTATGTATTCGATCATATCCTTTATAGAAAAGAAACATCTTTCCAATGTATTCATTTTCAATATCTGATCAATATTAGTATGGACTTTATTGATCAATCACCAAGGATTTGACCTAGTTACATTATACTTAATTTTATTGAGAACAGGTAGTGATGCTATCGATTGAATAATATATGCACAAAATAACACTCTTCAATGGCAGCAATACTTTTTTCTTGATATTTGATGGAGTTGTATTTACACAATAATAATATGGCATGTCAAAGATTTGCAGGCAAGTATGCACGTGTTCATTGTGGATTAAACTCGTATAAAGGGCCTGTTTCCAGTAATGTTAATTCTCCATAGGAGCCTGCCCCGTATAATTTCTTATCTAGCTCAACTACTGTTTTTTTTCTTTTCCGAAGAATAATTTTACACCTTTCCGACACCCAGATTTCATAATTTCAGTGAAAATGTATTTTTATAAAGTTGTCAATTTCAGCATCAAAGACATAAGTTCGTAAATAAAAGAAGGTTATCTCGAAATTGTAATTCGCAACATAGTATAAATTTCTTTTGATAAATATTTCCAAAACATCGTGTTTATTCATAAAACATAAAAAAAAAAATTCTCGGATGAAAATGCACTTGCAGAGACACAATTATGAAGAAAAATGCCATAAAATTGCAATTTTCTCCCGTTATATAGTTTTGGATGCAAATTTCCATCAGAAAATCGGATAGAGCTTTACTTGTTTCATATGTGTACCAAAAATCAGCTAATTCCATGTGGTGGAACGTTCTCATATCGCCGCCTGAATGTGGTTGTAAATTGAAAGAAAAGGGGAAATGAGTAACAACCTTGTCTGAAACCCTATTATATAGCTTATTATATACAAACTTTTATATTGAATATCAGAGCGGATATTTTCATGACAGTTTTATGATGTGTAACGACTAAATAAACAGTATCGATATAAAGATTTACACTGAGGACACCCTGATACATGAATACTGTTCTATCTCAAGTTGTCCTCTTCTGAATTTTCTGATCGTGTGGCCTTGTACATTTATCCGTATCTTCTTGTCTTTGTCTATACGTTTACGGAATCATTGACTCGACGCTAGCTATTCTTGTCTCACTTTCCTTGTTTTATTGTCCCATCTCCAAAGCGTTGTGGCTCTGTCAGGGTTGGGACCCTGACTTGTCTCACTTTCTTTGTGCCTGCCGACCACGCCACATCGAATAGATAGATTATCCATATGAAATACTTTATTTTGTTCTAAGTAATCAATCAATTCTGCGCTTCTTGGAGGTATTGAATGTGATTTATTATATTGTCTTGTTATTTTGTGTAATTAGTTGTTCGTTATTTATCACACATTTTCGCATAATTGTACCAAACTACTAAGTATTAGCTGTTTACAGCAATCATCGGTGGCTTGCTATTTTGTTACTTTATCGACGCTTCATAAAC